CCAGCGCCGTCGAAGAGCGGTAGCTGACCACTCGAGACTAAAACAACCCCTTGGGGCACACCAACGACACTTCACTCAGGGTCCATAATTTAATAACAACCAACGATCGTGTCGCCGACATTGTGAGAATTTATCCAAATATAGGTATTTATTTCAAGTAGGAGGAAAATCGGATTTACCTTTTTCAGTGAAAAAAAGGCATGTGCCAATCGTTTCTTCATAATCCCCTATCTGCAACCAAAGAAAAAAAAAAGTATTCTGAATCATGTCTCGACCCTCACAAGTGAAGGGGCAAACAAACTCAAGCCATTGAAGCAATTTAATCATAAAATTAATAAAAACAAATAATGGGTTTAAGTGATCAGTTATGAATCATCTGTAGACAAAGTATGTACCAGCTTCAGTTTGTCACCTATGATCAGTACTGGATTCGGCGTATCCAAACCCTGCAAATATAACAAAACAAATGGTACAGAATATTTGTGCAGAATGACAGACAAATCAATTGCACAGCCTAAACAACCAATTTCATCAAAGTACACAATCTAAACAACCAATTTCACATACTTCCAATAAGCCTAAACAAAAAACTGAAAATGTTATCACAGCTATAACAACAAAACAGATCTAACAAATTCAATATTTACCCAACCAATTTCCCAACATCAACAATTAAATTCACAACCAATTACTCCGTTTAAAGTCAATCTACAAGGAAAACAAGAAACATTACAATGAACATTACAAATGAGTTCATAATTGTAAAACGACCAAATTTGTTCATCAAGAACAACATGTACTATATAATATAACTGAAGTTTTCATAAAAACTAAAATGCCATGAACCTTAAAAATTTCCAATAACATATAAGAGTTTGGTGAAAAAACGTACGGATAGAACATAAGGTGCATTTGGTGGGATATCAAGCTGCCCAGAAACAGAATCAAGATCGAGCAGTACATATTCGTCTTCATCCTCTTTCACTTGGTTCGCCGAATTCGCTTCCATAGCTAGTCAAAGCAACAACAACAAAAACAACAACAACAACAAAAAAATTGTTATCAGCCATTATTTGTACCAAGAATATGAGGACAGACAGAAAACATATGCAATTGAAGTAATCATCTGAAATCATAAAAATTGGGACCATACGAAAGGATCAAAATCCTCAACTATTTGACAGTCACTGAAACCCAAAAAGATAAAATAAAATAAAATAAAAACTAAATACAAACTTCAGAGAGCGCGCGACTGTCGGTGAAGAAAGGAAGAAGGAAGCAACACTGTGGCCAGAGCGCTCGACTGTGGGAAGGCGTCAGAAGCGGCAGCGCAGAACTGGGCGGTGGTCGGAGTGCGCTGGGCGGAGACCTGGGGGTGGGCGGCTCTTTCCTTGAGTTCCCGTGTCACAGACTGAATGAAGTTTCAACTTTCATGTGGCCTTCAAAAGAAAAGAAAAAAAAAATCAAGTGAACTACATCAAAACGCATGTCGTATACCCAATAGGAAGTGAAAACGAAAATAATAATAATAAATAAATGATAAAATGGAAAAGGGGACACACAAGCCCAAAAGCTCTAGCGTATGTGGTATACATCCAAAGACGAAGTGCTTGTTTTTTTTGAGTGAAAAACTCAAAAAAATGTAATTCAGGTTATAATTTTATTTGAGTTTATATTCTTTAAAGTTTAAATTTGAGTTTAAACTCGAGTTTAGGACTAAAATTTGAGTTTAAGTTTCCCCTTCAACTCGAGTTCAGAAACTCGAACTCAAATTAATGAACAGTATTTTTTCTATTCTTAAAAATACTATAACTTTTTCATTTTAATTCTGATTGAGATGATTTTTTTTCTATGCGTTGACAACGAAAAGACGAATAAAACCCGACTCATCCCTATTAAAATTTTTCATCAGCATTGAGTTTTTATTAAAATACTATCTAAATACAAATTTAAGTTTTGACTCACTCAAATACAAACTCAAAAAGATTCTTATCTCAAACCATAACTCAAATGTATACAACTAAACACAAACTCAAGTTACAAGTTCAACTCAAGTTATAACTCAAATTCAACTCAAAAATTATATTCAAGTTAAACTCTAAAAGAATAAGTCCGAAATTTGTAACGTTCTTTAAAACTTCTCTTAAACTTTGCCCCCAATAGGGAAGCTTGCTACTTATACCCCTAAAATTTTCTCATTATAATATGTACACATAATTTTTTAAACAGTTTCAAGTACATCTCAAGTTTTAAATTCAAAGTATTGTATTTTAAACTTAAAACCACAAATAAACTAAAAACAACTACTACTATTATATAAATTCAGAATTTCTTTTGGACTTTGGACTCTAACCTATACTATTATCTGTCATTTCTAAGAAAAAGAGGACGATACAAATAAATAATTAAAGGTTAAAGAGAATAACAAAGAGTTAAAAAGATAACCATAATTTGGTTTCAATTTTTAGTATAATTTATGCACCGTTAAAAATGAAAAGAAAAAAATACTGACTCTGGGATTAAAAGAGGGTATAAATCGATGACGGCATGAAGAATAAGTTATGTAATTAATCTGACTCTGATATTACGAGAGGAATTGAAAATGTAACAAATTCTTAAAAATATTTTAGAAATAGTGAAATTATAAATAGTAATCATATTATAATGATATTCACGTTTTAATACTGTTGATGGTGAATTCTCGTCAATAAAAACAGGTCGGGTTATCTCTGGGTTTCTCGTTGGATTACTGGCCTTAGTGTTGAATGTGTGTAAGAATTTGTTGGAGGGATGTATTGTGCGTTAATCAAAGATGTACACAAATAAAGAAGACAAGAGATTTTATAGTGGCTCACTCTATAGAATCAGAGCTACATCCACTGTGGTCGTATATTTCTTTTGAGGGGATTACAATTTACATCAATTGCTCTCTCACTCTTCTTTTCTCTCTTGGATCTCAACCCCCTTCCTGTATGGGGTCTCGCCCTTTTTATACTGGGGCTTCCTTCGCTGAGTTGATTTCCTTTGTAAGCAGGAGCACTCAAGTGCTCTCCCTTTTTAGGCCCAGACGTAGCCCACTAATTACTTGGAGTACTGTTCACTCAGCCAATTAGTCTTCTATTACGGCTCTGTGCATTCCTGTAACCCTTTTCTGTCCCCTGTGGGGCGGTTTAAGGGTTCGCAATTAATGCCTGCTTTGCAGACATCCCCCACTTATGTACGCAACTTGCCATGTCAGGTTTTTCCCCAAAGAGCATTCTCCTCGTCGCCAGTGTTGCTTAACCCGCTTGTCCTTCTTGGCGGTCGATTCTACGGTCGAGGGATTTCTATGTCTAAAGGTCGACGGTACGACCTGTCGACGCCTGATTAACGCCCAAAAGTGATATTCACAAGCGGTCAATTGTAGCACAGAAGGGCGGTCGTATCCACAAAGAGATAACAAAATAACAAGAATGATTAATAGAATAAGAGCGTTAGAGAAAAATGAATTAAAGAAAAATGAGAGTTTTTGAGATTTTTGTTGCAAATAAAATAAAAAAAGAAGAAAATCTGTATGAAGAAAACGGTAAGGTGTCGAGAATCCCTAATGCTTCGTTCACCAATTCAAGTTTTGATTCACAATATTAAATAACTAAATAAATTAAATCTGTATGTTGACTCCAGAAATATTATTATTACAAGTTATCTAAAATCGACAATATATCAATCTGACAATATTGCAGTAAAAGACAATTTGTAAAATAATTTGAATAACAAAACAATGCGTGACATAATTATATAAGAAAAGCGTGACTGAACTTATATAAAAATTGACACACAATATTTTAAAAAGTAATAGAAAAATA